TTCCGGTTCGACATAATGAAGATCTCCAAAATCAAGATTTGGAAAAGGAACTTCCTTGGTCTGTTCAATCTCATCATTCATATGATAGCCCACATGCGAAAGCATTTTTACTTTTGCAGGCTCATCTTATAAGGAACAAATTGGCAATAGCTGATTATGTAACAGACACTCTGTCGGTTTTAGATCAAGCAATTCGTATTTTACAGGTAAGATTGAATATTCGATCATCTTTATACACAAAATATTTCTAATTCTTCTTTTTTCTTCCTCCGTTATTAGTTAATTATTGATATCACGGTCGTAAATAACATGTTAAAAACATGTCTTCATACGATGTCATTATTACAATGCATTAAACAGGCATGTTGGCCTGAAAATTCATCATTGCTGAATCTTCCTGGAATTGAAGATCATATGATTAATTCAGTTCTTCACGAGGTACTAATCATTTATTGAATGCAATCGATCTTATTTAATCTTATATACGGATTTGTTAATTATTAATACTTTAAATGTTTTAGGGACATGTAGTCAAATGCCTAGGCGAATTATTGGACCTTTCAGAAGAGGACTTGTCTAATATTTTCAAAAACATTAGCGGACTTTCCGAACCTGATGTAAAAAAGGTACGTTTCATTTGTTTTGTTGCGTAAATACATGAGATCAAACAAATTATTTTAATTAAATTTTACGATGATTTCATAGATTTGTAAAGTCGTCAAAAACATTCCTCTGATGGATGTCGGTTATCATATTAATAATGCTAGTGATTCGATGGCTCCTAAGGAGGAGCGTACGTTATTAGTTTCTTTGAAAAGGGTAAAGAATATATCAGGATATGATGGTAAAGTTTATGCGCCTAGATTCCCAAAACCACAATATGAATCATGGTGGTTGGTATTTGGAGACAAATCAACCGATAGCATAATCGAGATGAAAAAGATTAATATGAGTAATGGACTTTTTGGAGAATTTTCTAATGAGCAAACGTTCAAATTGAAGCTAACAGCACCAGAGTGGGGAGGAAATTATCAATACACGATATTTCTAATTAATGATGGTTACCTGGGATTAGATCAACAATTTGACGTTGAATTTCATGTTAAAGATGCTAGGTAAATAAATATATAAAGGGAAATTGTTATTTTATTTAATTATTTTAAATTTTTTTTTTTTTTTTTTTTTGATATTTTATTTATTATTTAAATTAGTGAGCATTTCTTTTTTTTTTATTTTTAAATAAATTAAAGAGTATAGTAATGTATTTTAACTAAACATAAATGTTTTCTATGGCATTGATTTCTATTTAAAAAAAATTTATATTTCTTTATATTAGATATACATATATATTATTTATTATAATTAATGATAATATTAAGATATAAGAAAGTTTTATTTGTATTAAAAAAAAAGATAAAGTATATTAATTTGATAAATAAATAACTTAATATATTATCAGATCAAAAAATAATATATATTATTAATAACTAGTTTATACTTATATTATTAAAAGAAAAGTCAAAATTAGAATTTTTATTTTTTAATTCTAATTATATTTAATTAAAAAATATAAATATTTTAATATTTTTTTTTATTAATTCATATTTACTAAAAAAATTAAATATAATTAAAACAACTTATTATATTTAATTATCTTAATAATATTATCTTTACTAAAACTTAAATTCTTATTATAGATAACTAATTAATACTATTATAATAATAATAAAATAATTGTTATATAAAATGGGTTAGTACGTACAAAAATCATGCTGCGAAATTTTTTATCAAAATTGATATTTTTTATTCATGTAAATCATT